GACAGTGATTTCATCAAAGACAGTGATTTCATCAAAGACAGTGATTTCATCAAAGACAAAGACAGTGATTTCATCAAAGACAGTGATTTCATCAAAGACAGTGATTTCATCAAAGACAGTGATTTTATTGCACAGATCGTCAATATGTGGAGTGTCTGTGGCGTTACTCTTTCAGTTAGAAATAACAGAAATTTGTGACCTTTACTAGCTTCAAGTTTGGCCTAAATTGTCCTCAGTTTGACTTAACTTCTCTCAGTTTGACTTAACTTCTCTCAGTTTGACTTAACTTCTCTCAGTTTGACTTAACTTCTCTCAGTTTGACTTAACTTCTCTCAGTTTGACTTTGCAGCTCCAGCTTTGGCTTAGCTGCTCCGCATGTAATGTGCGGCGTGCAGGGAGTGTGTGAACGCGGAGTTCTCTGCCCCTGGGTCGTGTTCGGAGGGAAGCACCACCAGGATGAACACGTACGCGAACACGGTGAGGAGGAGAGAGAGAAGGAAGAGCAGGCGGTCGATGACCTGAGCGATGGTGCACCACTCCGCTATCATGTACTTGGTGGTTAGCACAACTTCCTCACTCCTCATCTCCACTTGCACCCTCTCGTACTCGCTTTGTCCGCTCAGCCTCCTCACTCTGCCACTGCTCCTGATTCGCCCCGAGCGGAACGGGGTCAGCGACCGACCGTTGACCTTCCTCCACCTTCTCCGATCATCGTCTTGTTCACAACTTGCCCGGGAGTCCGCGTCGCTCGGATGGGGCCGGCCGGATGTGTCTGGACTGCAGGCCCGGCCTTCATTTGAGACGGCCAGATCTTCACGTAGAACCCAGACTTGTTCGTCGTTACAGCAGTCGCAGACGTGTTTCCCCGCCTGGTCGGCACAAGTCCCGGCAGAGACGGAGCAACGCTCCTGAAGGTCAAGGACAAGACTCGGGTCAACGCGCCGGGGAGAACTTTGCCTGGAGCCTTCAGCCGGACTCGGTTCTGAACCAGACTCCCAGTGAGCTGCTGAGAGTGCTGGTGGGGACGAGGGGGCGTCTGCCAAAGGATCTGTCATCCGCGGGTCTTTGGTCCGAGCAGACGCGTGGTGGAAGACAAAGTCTCTCCCGCCAGTGTCGGCAGGCGACGACGCGACAGTCTCACAGCGAGCCTCACAGTTGTCTGGACCTGCCGTGGTGTGCATCGAACTTCCTGTCCCCGAGAAACTGCGGCACTGGTTGGGATGACCCTGTTCTTGGTGACAGCCCGCGCCGTCTGAAGCAGGAAAAGGTTCGCTCGTCCTCTTGTTGGGACAAAAAGGTTCGCTCGTCCTCTTGTTGGGACAAAAAGGTTCGCTCGTCCTCTTGTTGGGACAGTTAGTACGCCTCCAACTCAAAGTATGCTGGGGAGATTCGAGAGAGGAAATTTCTTCCGAGTGTTGGGTGACTTGGATTTCTGGCGTCCTCGTCGACTGAGAATTGGAGGAATGACAGTTGTCGGTCTTGTTGCCATGGTGACAGTGAAGAACATCAGGGTTGTCCCACTCACTACCGCGAGCGTCGACGGACTGGAAGTCATTCTGTGATGTGCTCAGTCCATTCTTGCCTGCACAATGTGGAGTTCTATTTTTGTCCCCATTCCGCCCCGAGGCCTCGCCGGTCTGGTAGGGATGCAGCCCGTGGTCGTGCAGGATGAAGTACTTGCAGGTGTCACTCTGAAACACAACGACAAAAACAGACAATGGGACACACAGAATATTTAGCATTCAGGTTGAGTTTATGATGAACACTTGACACACTTTTCCTTACTACATTGGAAAGGACATAGAAGGGGGGGTGGGGTGGGGGATGGATGTCACCTTAGATCTCTCGACTACTGCCAGAGCACTTTTTAGTTCCGGAGGGGGGGGGAGGGGAGATTTTCTCTATTTTACAATACACATATCGTGACAGACATCCATACCTCTCCCCTCTGCGACAGGAGAGCGACAAACAGACAGACATGAGCCAATGTTTGCCACACGGGCACCCTTGTCCTCTGGCAGGCCATTTACTCACCTTTTCTCTCCATCACACCCCATTAGAAGACCTGTATCACACAATCACATCATCACACCATCACACTATCACACCATCACACTATCACACCATCACACCATCACACTATCACACTATCACACCATCACACTATCATACCATCACACCATCACACCATCACACTATCATACCATCACACTATTACACTATCACACCATCACACCACCACACCATCACACACACCATCACACCATCACACCATCACACCATCACACCATCAGATTATCACACCCTCACACCATCACACCATCACACCATCACATCCCACTAGAAGACAGACGGCAGGAAGGAATGAAGTACCGTAATCATCAATGTCTGCTACAGACACCTGGAGAAGAAGAAGAAGAAGAAGAAGAAGAAGAAGAAGAAGAAGAAGAAGAAGAAGAAGAAGAAGAAGAAGAAGAAGAAGAAGAAGAAGAAGAAGAGGA